TTATTTTTTTAAATTTTGGCATGTATTAACAGATGTGTTAAATAAAAGAGAGAAGATACCACACTTTTTGTTGCTAAGCCATTTACACTGAGTCTCCCTAAGGATGAAGATTTTTTCTTTTTTTTTAAATTTAACTCCTTACAAACTTTCCTGGTGGGGTAGTGTTTCAGTTGGTCAACCAACTGAGAGGTTATCAACTCAATTTCACCAGTTGCTCTGGGAGAAAGATGGGGTGTTTCCTCCCATAAAAATTCACAGCACTGGAAACTCAGTGGAGGGTTGCTGTCAGTCAGCATCAACAACATCAGAGAGTTTAGTTTTGGTTTGGGTAACTCCCCACAGCACCTGGGATGATGTTTTGTTTTTAGCAAAACAACCCAAATCTGATGACACCATGGCATGAGGCAACCTGAAAGTGTAATCAAACCACAAAAAAATGTGATTGCTCTTGAGATGTCATATAACACTACTGTAGTCACCAACTGTTATAATGAAACATTTCCCAATTTTTCAGTTCCATACAACTCTACTACTTTCAAAAATTGAGTTCTAATTCGCATGCCAAATAATGTATCTTTTTAAAGAGGATAACTTAGTGATATTTAGTATATTCTTAAGGCATCACTGCCGTCCAATTCCAGACATATTCTTTACCCCGGGAAGAAGCTCTGAGCCATTAGTAAATGTTCCCTATTGAGTCCTGCCCATAATCTCAGGAAACTACCCTTCTATCTTCTGCTTCTTGAATTTGCCTATTCTGGATATTTTACATAAATAGAATCATACAGTAAAACTTACTGCCATCGAGCCAGAACTAACTCCTAATTTATCCTTATGGGGTTTCTGAGGCTGTAAATCACATGGGAAGAGACAGTCCCTCTTTCTCCCTTGGAGCCATTAGTAGATTCAAACGTTAGAGACGAGTGTGGTCTCTGGGTTAGCAGCACAATTCCCTACGAACTATGCCACCAGAGCTCCCCCATCAGATAGTAGGTAGCCTTTTCTTTCTTTTTAAATTAATATAATGTTTTTATGGTTTACTGCCTCTATTTCATATACTAGAACTTCATTCCTTTTCAGCTATATATTTCATTGTATGGCTGTATCACATTTTGTTTTAGTTTGTTTGCATTTGCTGACAGTTTTTGCGTGGTCATATGTTTTAAGGAAGCACATATATGCGTACTGGCTGTTAATAATAAGAGCAGTGAAATTAACTAGCTCTTAAATGTACTTGGTCTGAACAGTTAAACCAATTTTGGCTTTTCCTGGCCTGTTTTTGCTTGCCCTTTGACCTTTAATACCTTCTTCTTGCTGGTGAGCAGTAAAAATAAAAATCAAACCCATTGCTGTCAATCAAACTCTCCTATAGGGCAGAGTCAACTGGCTCCTTCTATTCCCTGGGCTGTAATCTTTACAGGCACGGACTGAATCATCTTTCTTCTTCAAAGCTGGTGGTAGGTTCAAATCAACGACCCTTTCTTAGCAACTGAACACATAACTACTTCACCACCAGGGCTCTTTGAGCAGTAAAAAGGAAGAGAAATAAAACTTACACTTCAACAGGGAAGTCAATTACTAATTGAAAGCCTGGCTGGTTCAATTTACTCCTAATTACCTGTGAAAACAGGCCTGGCTCTATGCTTCTGAAAGGTCACAGCCTTGTACAGCCTATGGAGCAGCTCAACTCTTCACAGCTAGGGTCACTGTGAGTCTATTCAGCTCAGTGGTAACTAACAATAACAGGTTCTGCTGTGCATGAGCTGGTACCCCTGAAAGGTTCAGAATTTGCAGGTGACTGTTCTATAGACCCAAAACACAATTAAAGCTGAGGGAGAGGGAAATGACGGTGTGTAATTTGAAAACTATCCCAAGTCTGCTGTATAGATAGATCACAGTTAAGAAGTTCATATGGAGCAGTAATACATGTGGTCACCATGAGCCCAACCAACTTACTGGCAGCTAACAAAAATGGTCAGATGATAGGAAATGAAATAAGCTTTTAGCCTGATACCCACGATCTTGCATCCTACCTTTTCCCTGAAATGCTCATTTTTGGAGGCTGCTGCCAAGTAAAGTGTCACAGCCTCACGGACATCACCGTCGTCTTCAGTTAATAGCAGAGCCAGTGTCCTGAGTACTTCCTGCTGGGCAGGGAGTTTGCCAGGTCCAAGATCAGTCATGGCCTGCAGCAGTTTGTCCTCTCTCAGTGATTGCAGAGTCTGAACCGTGGACACTAAAGAGTAAAAGGAAAAGAGTTTATGTGCTGTCATTCAAGCACTACCACCTGTTGTGCAGTCAGTTCGTTCTGACCAGTTCACTCTGACTCACTGGTGTCACGAAGTGCATCATGGTGCAACTGGGTTTTCAATGGTTGACTTTTCAGAAGCAGGTCACTAGGACTTCCTCCTGCATTGTCTCTGGATTTTGGATAGCAGCCAAACAATGTTATCTATATGCAACATGTCCATTGAAAAGATATATAAGACTCAAATGCACATGAAAGTATACACATAACAGATTTCAGTATATGTAGTAACAGTGGCATTTCAACTTTGTAAGAAAGATTATTCAAATAAATATATTGAGACCAGTAGTTAATATGAAAAAAATAGAGATGACCCAACAAATCAAATAATTATTTCCAAAATAGCATTTTAAATAATAAAATAAAACAAATAGTGAAGAAAATATAGGTAAATCTTTTAAGTAATCTTTCCAATGCATCAAACTGATACTCTTTTGTATTTTATACCTATTGGGTAAAACCCTAACCCTGAATGAGTCCAACTCTGTTTTCTGTTTGACTCAACTCAGGCAAACCAATTCTGATGGAGAAAACCAGTTTGTTGGTTGGGATACAGACACAATATGGTAAATAATAAGGTCCTGGCTCTTATTTAAGGAGACCCAGTGGCACAATGGTTAAGCACTCAGCTGCTAACTGAAAGGTAAGTGGTTTGAACACGACCTTCTCTGCAGGTGAAAGATGAAGCCTTGTGTTTCTCTAAAGATTTACAGCCTTGGAAACCCTCTAGGAAAGTTCTCTTATTTCCTATCGAGCAGATACGAGAAAGAATCAACTTGACAGTAATGTTTGTTTCTTTAGTATAGAATCTCATTTGGACAAATTATCCATGCTCCATTTGTAAAGAAAATGCTCTCTCTTGAAATCTTGGGATCATAGTCTCAGGAAGATATCAAGGTCAATTGGCAGTATAACATAAATTGTATACCAAGACAATTTTCTACCTACTTTGGTGAGTAATGACTAGGGTTTTAAAAGCTAGTGAGCCACCATCTAACTTACCACTATTGGTCTTTCCCTGTCTGGAACAAGAGTAAAGAAAATCAAAGATGTATAAAAAACCCAAGTAGTAAAAAAAACCCAAAAAAACCAAAAACCCCAAGTAGTAAGAAGGACTAATGAACCATGTGAATGTCAATTTTTATGCCCAGAAACCAGAAGAACTAAATGGTGTCTGGCTATCACTACTGACCACTCCGAAAATCATCACAAAAGATTCTGGATAGAGTGGGGGGAAATGTGGAACAAAACTAAAAAAACCAACCAAACAAACAAAAAAAACCATAAAAAGGCCAGGCTCATTAGTGTGATATAGACTGCTGGAACTCTCAAGACTACGGCTGTTGATCAGTTACCCTTTGACTCTAGAACAACATCGAGAAGGCATCCATTCCTTAGAATGACCAACCAAAGAAGGTCAAAAGAGCAGCATTTGTCTAAGAATAAGGCCCAGAAGGTAGAAAGGAATGAAATGGAAGAATTAATGGAAATTAAAGTTACAGGGAGGAAAAAGGAAAGTACAATTACATTGTGGGTACTGTAATTAATAGTAACAAACAAAAAACCAGTTTGCTTTGCAAATGCAAATTAAGTCACACACACATAACTAACTCTCTCTCTCTCTCTCAAATCCTTAACTAGAAACCCAGTATGGGCATTGCACTGGTAATAAAAATAGCAGGATGAGAGAATGTGACTGACACAATACACTTGGGGGAAAAAATAAGCTAAAATTTATCTTCTATTGATAGAGATCATCTTCTATGCAAGGACAAAGTTGTGAATCATCCATATTATTTTTTGCTTTCTTATTTTCCATTATACATGTTCTGGAAATTTTGCAGCTTTGTAAATAATATCTTGGTAGAAAAAGGTCTTGAATTAGTATTTGAAGGCAGCATGAGTCAGATTTGACTTGACACTACTCTAACAACTCTTTGTGGGTTGATTTGTGTTCTCCCAAAATTTAACGTGTAGTCCTAACCTCTGTGTCTGTAAAGATGATCCTGTTTAGAAAGTGGAAGTTTCTTATGTCACATTAATGATGACTTACCAATTAGGGTGGGCTCTGAGCCTAACCCTTTCTGTATGGTAACCGACAAAAAGGGCAGAATAAACACAGACACACACAGAGGAGATAGGTACTACGTGATTCCAACATAAGCTAAGGAACACCAAGAAATTTCCAGAGCCACTCACCGGGTGAAAACTTGCCTTAGAGCTGATGTCCTAATTTGGACTTCCAGCTTCCAAAACTATGAGACATTACACTTCTGTCCTTTAAAGTAGATACTCCTGTACGTTTTGTGGGTTTTTAAAAATAGCAATACTAGGAAACTAAAGTACAGCTAAAGTTCATGAAATACTAGGAAACTAAGGTATAGCTAAGGTGCATAAATAACAAAAACAACCTGCATGCTTAACGATATAATCAAACGCATGGGTTATATACATCCAAATGGAGAAGCATTGCAAAACTAATAAGCCATATTTAAAAGGAATATTTAATAACTTGGGATATAAGGTCAAATCTAGACAGCAAGACATAACACTCTATAATTAACAGTCTCAAGTTTGAAAAGGAAAATTATTTATTCAATTATTCATCAGGAAAAAACACATTTATTTTTAACAGAGGAAGTATGAGTGATTTGAATTTATTTCCTTTATACTTCTCTAAATTTAAACATTTTTTCTGTGTTTCCTACATTTTCTACAAGGAATACATTTTTCTGTCCATGGTTAATACTCTTGGCACGAGCAGCTGGGAAATAAAAAAAAGTATTGCAATGGGAAAGTCTGCTGTTAGGGACCTCTCTAAAGTACTCAAGAGCAACGGTGTCTCTCTGGAGACTAAGGTGCGTCT